AGTTTTATCCATTCTTTTCTCTGTAACCACTAACTTGGTACAAATAAAATCTTTTATTCTTGAATTATTTCCAATTATTTGCAAATGTCTTATGGATAAAGTTGGACTTTTTATTAATGTTTCTGGTGTTTCCAGATAGCCAACATAAAACCAGACAAAAAGGTGAGGAAGATCACTAAAATAATTGTTTATTGATTTCTTGTTTCTGTTTTATCTTCGGTTTTAGATTCCAAGGTGAAGAGATTTTGCACCAAAAATATCCTGATCATCCTTGGCTTCTCCTCTGTCATGGCTGTGATAGCTTTGATTGCTGTGGGGTTGACCCAGAACAAACGCTTGCCAGAAAATGTTAAGGCAAGTCAAATCCTTTGTGTGTGTGTGTGTGTGTGTGTGTGTGTGTGTGTAAGATGTGTGGCCTGGGTGGAGTGGGAAAGGAAGGAAGACTAGATGAGGGAATTCTGGAAGAAATGAGATTCTAGCAGACCAGGAACAAGTCAAATTCCTTTGATTAAGGGAGTAAAATAGAAACAGCTGCTCGTTCTGGAAAAGGAATACTTCAAATAAATTAGTGGTGGGAAGATAATTACTTTTATGACTGTAATACTCATTAAGTCACTTTCTGAAATGAATGCATGTGTTCACTTCATCCAGATTTTTTTTGTCCTATGGTCATGCTCTTTGCTCTAGTGCTAACTCCACACAACACTCGTACTTCATTATTATTATTATTGACAGCGCTGTGTAAAGCAAAGCCAGAGACTGTGAAGATGTACTTATCTTCAAAAATAGTGAGGAGAACTGGAGGGATAGCACATGGGTGTAAAAGGACTTGACACCAAGCCTGACAACCTGAGTTTGATCCCCCAGACTCACATGGTAGAAGGAGAGAACCAACTCCCACAAGCTGTCCTCTGACTTCCACATGAGCATTGTAGCACATGTGTCAGTAAAAACAACTGGAGACCATCTATCTATCTATCTATCTATCTATCTATCTATCTATCTATCTATATGATATCTATATAAGATAATCTGAAGTAAATTCTTAGAAGGACATTTGTGAAACTTCAATATTTGACAAATGAGTTGTCATAGTTTAAAATCATCAGGGTCAAGTGGAACGTGATGCGCACCTGTAACCTCAGCATTCAGGAGGCTGAGGCAGAAGGATCATACATCTGAGGCCAGTCTAGACCACATAGCAAGTTGCTGTCTCAAAAAGTCAAAACAATAACAATAAAACCATTAGGATCAGTAACTTCCTGTGATTTCCTTTCCTTCCTTCCTTCCTTCCTTCCTTCCTTCCTTCCTTCCTTCCTTCCTTCCTATTTGCTCATTTATTGGTTTATTTTGGGGGACAGTGTCTCAAGTATCCCAGGATGGCCTCAAACTCATTATGTAGCCAAAGATGACCTTGAACTTTGGATCCTCTTGCCTCTACCTCTCAAGTCCTGGAATTAAAGGGATATAATTTTACTCCTGGTTCTGTGATATATTTTGCTTTCTTTTCTAATTTTTCAAAGTGAAGTTTCAAACATGAATATTTCATAAGGATTTTGTAATGAGGTTGCTATTTTGTTTAATCTGTGAATTTCAAAATGTGTAGATTTGTATTATAAGTATACCATTTTACATTTAAATTGAAATGACAGCAAACATATGTGTAAGGACCCAGATGAGACCAGTAGACCAGTGAGCACATATGTACATGTGAGATGACATATCCTGAAGTTAACTTGACTGTGGAGGTCCTGGAATACACGTGTAAAAGCATAGCCTACTGTATTTGATGATGATGACCTATAGGCCTGGGAAGTTGGATGCATGCCCCGCTTCTGAAGTTTTTGCCACCCACCAGTATCACTTTCTGTGTAGAAAAAGTGTGGGTGTTATATTGGCATCTGTTTGTCACACAAGTCCAACCCTGTGGAGTTGTGTACAGCAGCTGCTTTGTGGGCATAGAAGACTGATACTGTCTCGTTAATAGTGGTCTCTTGCCTTTTCATGTTGAATGGCATTGGATCTCTTGGCAAAACTTCACTCACAGTTGAAGCCTTATGACATCTTGGTTTTGCTATTTGTTTACTAGCTCCAAAAGTAGGCGATTGCCTTCTTGATTTGACCTTTCTGCATGTTCAGTATTGCATCATCGGAGAGAAGGACTGCTAGGAGGTAAACCCATGGCACACATGAGCTCTTTGTTCCTGGAGAATGCTTGTGGTCAGGGTGACTTTCCCTCATTCACAGTGGTCTTCAGGTCTGTTGTATTTCTGTGTTGTTACATTGCCTGTCAAAAGGGAACGGAGTCTTTGGCATTCTTTAAATGAAAGGTATAAGTATTTGAAAAGCAGCTACTGGAATTGAATATGGTAAGATCATGGACTTCTTTCACACACGTTTACATACAAAAGCTAGCTTTTTGTTGAGGCTGCTCACTAATTTCAGTAAAATTTCCAGTACATATTGGGAATCAAATGATAGATAATACAGAGATTTCCATCACTACAGAGATTCTGTTGGACATCGCTGCTTTAGAGTATATGCTTTGATGATATTTATGAAATTGTTCAAACCTTAGTTGAATGAATACAGTGTCAGATAAAACATTTTATAAAATCTAAAATAAGGACCTCAAATGGAACTGATCTTTGTTTTATAGTTTATAACTCATATCATGATTGTCCTACACACTATGAGCTACTAAAATGTTTTGAGAAGTTTGTTGAGATGAATGTACAGCTATCCCTTAGTATCCGCAGGGGATTGGTTCCAGCACTCCCCCCTCCCCGACCCCGTGGATATAAAAATTTATGGATGATCAAGTCCTTATGATATCATAAAAGGAGTATCATTTGCATATAACCTATTTTGGGTTTCTATATATTTTAAATCATGTCTAGATTTCTTATAATACCCAATGCAGTATAAAGTCTGTGTAAATAGTTGTTATGTTGTATTGTTTAGCAGACAATAACAAAAAATTGTCAGTACATGTTTAGTATAAACAATTAAAAAAAAATACATTTTTGCAGTCCTGGAGAGATGTTTCAGTGGTTAAGAGCATTTACCGCTCTTTCAGAGGACCTGGGTTTGGTTCCTAGCACTCATGGGAAGGCTAACAACCATCTGTAACTCCAGTTCCAGGGGATCAGATGCCTTCTTCTGTCCTCTATGGGTAATGTACACATGTGGTACACTGACATACATGCAGTCAAAACACTCATACACATAGAATAAAAATAAATAAAAATCTTTTTTTTTAATTTCACTTAGAAAAAAATTGCATTGTCACTGGTAATATTCATGGATGCAGAACCAATTGACATGCAAGGTTGACTGTGTTCACTTCTGCAATGACCATATAGACAGCAGCACATATTTGGGTATTTTACGTGGAGCATTTGCTTTGTGCCTTGTTTCATTTCTTTGTAACATAGTTTGGGTTCAGTCTGAGTGAAGGGTGGTGATGTTACAGAAGAGCTCTTTGTTGTGCTGATGTGTTTACTTGGCCAGCTATGTGTTGTAAACATTTTGAGGACAGGGCTTAGGTTTCCTGTCTTTGCATACTTTATGTCATCTAACAGATAGTCATTGAACATTTACCTTATTTGTGGTTCTAGAGATGTACTGAGCAAGACTGGCAAAGTATGCACACTTGTCAAGCTGGTGGTATAGTGTGAGGAAAGAATTATTGATCAAACAATCACAAAATAAATGTTAAATTACAACCAGGGCAGCATCTGAATTGAATGGTTGTTCCCAGACATTTGCTGACTTAGCAGATAGACTGAACATCTGAACAGAAAAAAATCTTCACCCCTCTTTGATAGAAGGGTGTCAATGTGGGAGGCAAACCGCCAGCTCTGGACTCTCCAGATATCTTGTTTACTTTCAGTTTGTACCTTCAGAGTGAAGGCACAGGAGTCTGCCCATAAGAGGCATCCTAAGGTGTTTCCATGCCACTGAAGTCAGTGAATCACTGAGCAGGTACTAGACATTCACTCCATAGATAATAGATCAGAACTACTTAAAAAACAAAAGCTTTAATGCAGTGGACAATCAATAGCTATGCCTAAATCTGTCCTTGGAAAAGTGCCTTTGTCCAGGAGGGTCTAGGTGTGGGGCGGGGGAGCTTTGAGTTCTGATCTGTTCACCAGTTCTTAATTTCCTGCTCATCACTGAACATAGGTAGTTAGTATGCTATCAGACAGTCCTTCTAGCATGAACAGTCAGGAAAACACAGATTGGCCCTAGACCAAACCACAGGCCTGCATTCAAAATTGTCCCTACCTTGGGAAATAGGCTCAGAGGGGCAAAGCGTTGATTCCAATCCCAGTAACTGAGACTTTAATCAGATAAATTCCTTCCTCTAAACCTGCTTCCCTATATGTGAGGTGGAGATAATAAAAATACCTACTTGCAGGATGGTTTGGGGATTAGATGGAATAAAACGAGAAATGGCTTGTCAGAGTGTCTAGCACATCAGAAGCCATGAGAAGCCCACAGAGGTTGGCTGTCAACGCTTCTTTCTAGAAGATGCATTCCGTGGAAGACCCTTTGCCCTCAGTGTGCTGTGACTTCAGAGCCTGTATGCTGCAACATATCCCACTGTCTCTAAAGGGTACTGGCCTTTCTCTAAGCCTCTGCTTTTCCAAAATTCACTAAGATGATGCTCTTGACTCGGGATCTGTGATTTAACTTTCAGTGGAGAATTTGGAGAATTTGTTTTGGCTTGCACCCTTAAATGCTCTTGGAAAATGTCTGTTTTATTTTTACTTTACTGTATTTTAACATTATCTGATTTAAAAAGAAGCACATGGAGATAGATGGTGGCAATGTTATGCAATAATGTCAATGTAATTAACATCACTAAAATGCAATACTTTAACATAATGAATTTTGTGTTGTGTATATTTTATCAGAATTTAAAAAAACAAACAACAACATAACAGTTTACATTAAAGATCTAGTAACTCTAATTAAAGAAGTAAGAAAAGAAGAAATGGTTTCTGGATGTTTATGGGCTCTATTGGCATCTCTGTGGCTAGCCTGATTTGTTTGCAGGGCATTAGAAACACATTGTAAAGGATAAGCTTTGTTTATAAACTCAGGCTTATTGAGCCAGACCAACAAGGCTGCTTGAAAATACTGTTAAAGCTACAGGAACTTTAAAAGAGGTTTTTTGTTTGTTTGTTTGTTTTCTTTTTTAGTCTTTTTGAGACAGGGTCTCCCTGTAGCTCCAGCTGTCCTGGAACTCACTATGTAGACCAGGCCGGCCTTGAACCCTCACAAAGATCCGCCTACTTCTGAGGTTTTTAAAGAGGTAGTTTTTTTCTTTTTTAGTCTTTCTTGGA